AATGAGAGAGTTCCAACCAAAGGAAAGTAGAAGTAACACTTCTCAGTTAAATCACATGCCATATTTGACCAACATATTTAAAGACATCATTGATTGGTTTGTGCTGGAAGGGACCTTAAAGCTCCTCCAGCTCCAACCCCTGCCACAGGCAGGGACCCCTTCCATAGAGCAGCTTGCTCCAAGCCCCTGTGTCCAACCTGGCCTTGAGCACTGCCAGGGATGGGGCAGCCACAGCTTCTCTGGGCACCCTGTGCCAGCGCCTCAGCACCCTCACAGGGAAGAGCTTCTGCCTAAGAGCTCAGCTCAGTCTCCCCTCTGGCAGGTTCAAGCCATTCCCCTTGGCCTGTCCCTACATCCCTTGTCCCAAGCCCCTCTCCAGCTTTCCTGCAGCCCCTTCAGGCACTGGAGCTGCTCTCAGGTCTCCCCTTCAGGAGCCTTCTCTTCTCCAGGCTGCCCCAGCCCAGCTCTCTCAGCCTGGCTCCAGAGCAGAGCTGCTCCAGCCCTCGCAGCATCTCCATGGCCTCCTCTGGCCTCGCTCCAACAGCTCCACATCCCTCTTGTGCTGCTGCCCCAGAGCTGGATCAGGGCTGCAGGGGGGTTCTCCCCAGATCACAGCAGAGGGGCAGGATCCCCTCTCTCAACCTGCTCGCTCTGGGGCCATACATTCAGTCAACTCACAGAGACAACCAGCATTTGGTCCTTACAGCAGCAATCCCTCACTGTCGCTGGAAAGATTATCTTCCTTTATCAGTCAACTTGATGGCACATTATAATCCAGACTGAATGTGATGCTCTAGATTTAGCTTTAAATACTACAACTAGGGACATAAAATGGGAAGAGGCAGCAGAACAGGGGCAAGATAAATACTTGTGAACACTGGCTTTACTTCACGGTTGTAAAGATCCCAAGCACATCCTAAAGCTAGTTTCTCCTTAGTCACACCACCAAATACCTGGGTTCTTAAACTAGTAACTGTCACATCACTTTTGCAAGTGCATGTTTCAGGAGAAACTCAAACAGCTCCAGCCTGAACTCCCATGGGACGCAGAGACCCAGCAGCCCTGGATACTCATACCAAGCCCCATCCAGGTGCCCAGGCACACACTTAGCAAAACCACCCTAGTTTGGCTTTGAGCCCAGAAATCTAAATGCAGTTTATGTGTCTGGTTGGCTCTGAACCAGTTTGGAAAGGAAGATTTTTACCTCATCTCTCGCTCTTCGTGCTGCGCTATGAGGTTGCTGTAGAAGTTTTCCAACGTCACCTTTGTCATTGTAACTCGCTCCTTGGTGTGGTTACTCATGGAGGAGCACGGCGTGGGGCCCGTCATTGCCATGGCTGTTACGAAAGGAAAAGGGAGGAAACACTTAATGTTAGAAATAACAAATAACCTTCCAAGAGCTGCAATCGATGAAGTGATGCTGAATCACAGAGCTCAGGTTTTACCAGTGCCAACAGCTGTCTAAGCTACAACTAAGCAGAGACAGGGCTTACAAAACACAAGCCAAACTTCCTGTTTTGAACATTTTTGATCTGAAAATAAGAGGGAAGGAAACTTAAGAAACACGATGCCTCAAAAAACCGCAGTTTCAGGCAGTCCTGCAAGGGTTTGTTTCTCCCAATACACTCTACCTTTAACAAAGGTTGAAAATCCAGAAATACCATTCTGAAGCATCTCATCCAGAAGTTTCTCCTTCTGGAACTCTGGCAGAAACAACTCCAGCAGTTCCCTGCTGTCCCTTCTGCTGGGAAATCTATCAAATCCTGAAAGGCAGCCCAAAACCAGAGCAACTGAGGAAGGAAAGAAAAAGGCATTCAGCTGCTCTTAAGCATTCTCTCCATTATCAGATGCTTTCATAAAGGCAAAATCCAGAGGACCCCAGCTTTGAACAAGCTGTAGTTAAAAAACAACTCAGTGTAAATATCCTACATGATTTCTCAAGAGAAACCAGCACATAAGTACCACATTATACTGCTTCAAACCAGCAGCACTGTTGCAGGGCATATTTGACAGACCTGCTCTACTTTGTAAAACACATTAAAACGCAAAGACTTCAAGTGTCAAAATACCTCTTGGTCCAGCTCTGGCCCCAACAACACATGGTCACGTAACCCAGTTCTGCAACAGCCACTACAAGTTGCTCTGACCAGCACAGGTCAGCCTCAACCACACTTCCCAGTCTGACAATGCTGGACACTGGCACCGTGCTGGGATTTGCTTCCTTTCTGTTCATTTCTTTTGCAGCTCTTCCCAAGGCATCATTGCTGGCCTTTGGAATCACAGCCTCAACTGACACCAGCTCTTTTGTTTGCTGTGTTTAGAGGTAACATGGGAGCCGGTAATAACCCCCAGCCAGATGGTTTGGGGATGGAGTTATGCGTTTGCGGAGGAACCGCTCTGAAGGACCCCACACAAGTGGCAGGTCTCTATGCAGGAGATGGTGTGTCACATCCCTGCGCTATCAGCAAGTAGTTGCTAAAGCCCTGCCTCCGGTTTGCACCTCCTAGAGAACAGGGAAAGCCACCGGCCACAAGCAGGTTACAAAGGGGTGCGCATAAGAAAGGGGAAGAAAAGCAGCAGCAGCAGCGGAGCCAAACCACCGGCGGGCAGCTCCCGTTCCCACGGCACCGGCGCCCGGAGCTCACCGACACCGATGGGGCGGCGGCGGGCAGGATGCTCCGGGGCTCCGCTAGCGCCGATCGCGGCCCTTCGCGGGGCCCGGCCCCGGCAGCATCACCGCGAGCGGACAAAAGGGCCCCAGGCCCCGCACCGAGGGGAAGGAGGGGTCTCGCTGGGGACATCGCCCATGAAGGCCCCGCTGGACCCGAGGGGCTTCGGGGAGAGCCGCCCCCTGCCCCAGCCCAGGAGCGGCGAAGGGCCCCGGCCTGAAGGAAGAGGACGAGGAGGGGACGCGGAGCACGGGGCGCGGCAGCCGCTTACCGGAGCCCCCCGGGAGGGGGGCGGCGAGGAGCTGAAGGCGACAGCGGGGTCCCGGGGCTGCCGAGCGGGGTGAAGGCGGGGCAGCGCTGGCTGTGAACGGGAGGAACGGGACCGGAGCGACCGGAGCGACCGGAGCGACCGCAGCCCCTCCGCCGCCACCGCCGCCCCCCGCGCCGACGGCGAACCGGACGGGACAAGCGCCGAGGGGAATCGCTGCGGCAGCGCGCATGCGCAGCCATCCATCGCCACGCCCCCTGCCAGCGGGGCGGGGCTACTTCGCCACGCCCGCCCTGAGGGGACCGCCCCGGTGAACTCTAGGAGGGCAGCAGAGCGCATGCGCGGGCTCGGAGGGGCGGGCTCGGAGGGGCGGGCTCGGAGGGGCGGGCTCGGAGGGGCGGGCTCGGAGGGGCGGGCTCGGAGGGGCGGGCTCGGAGGGGCGGGCTCGGAGGGGCGGGCTCGGAGGGGCGGGCTCGGAGGGGCGGGCTCGGAGGGGCGGGCTCGGAGGGGCGGGCTCGGAGGGGCGGGCTCGGAGGGGCGGGCGCTGCCCTCCCGCTCGCCACCGCTGCTCCACGGCCCCCTGAGCTCTGCCCTGCTCCCGTCCCGCCTCCCCGCATGGGCGCCGTGAGCGAGGTTCACGTCAGTGCCAGGCCCGCTGTGAGGGGATGTCCGCAGGAGTGGCCACAGGGACAGAGGTACCACACCACCAGTGCTCATAGAAGCGTGGAATCCCAGACTGGTTTGGGTTGAAGGGACCTTAAAGCTCCTCCAGCTCCAACCCCTGCCACGGGCAGGGACCCCTTCCATAGAGCAGCTTGCTCCAAGCCTCTGTGTCCAACCTGGCCTTGAACACTGCCAGGGATGGGGCAGCCACAGCTTCTCTGGGCACCCTGTGCCAGCGCCTCAGCACCCTCACAGGGAAGAGCTTCTGCCTTAGATCCAACCTGAACTTCCCCTGTTTCAGTCTAAACATCACCCCCTGTCCTATCACTGCAGTCCCTGATGAAGAGTCCCTCTCCAGCATCCTTGTAGCCCCCTCCAGACACTGGAAGCTGCTCTGAGGTCTCCCCGCAGCTTCTCCATCCTGAACAGCCCCAATGTTCTCAGCCTGGCTCCATACGGGAGCTGCTGCAGCCCCTGAGCATCCTCATGGCCTCCTCTGGACCTGTTCCAACAGTTCCATGTCCTTCCTATGTTGGGAACCCCACAACTGCACCCAGTGCTGCAAGTGGGAGCTCAGGAGAGCACAGCAGAGGGGCAGGATCCCCTCCCTGCTCTGCTGCTCACGCTCTGGGGATGCAGCCCAGCACGGGGGGGTTCTGGGCTGGGTCGTGTCCAGTTTCTCACTGACCAACACCCCCATGTCCTACTCAGCCCTGTGTGGAATGAAAGAGGATTTTGCTTCATTTTATTTACATTTCTACCAAAGGAAAAAAAAAAGTGCAATTCAGAGGGTGAAAAGGGGTTTTATTACAACACCGAGGAGTCCTTGGGTTTAGTCCCTTCTGCACAGGCAATTGAGGTCTGTCAGCAACACAGGAGCAACAGGGTTTGAAGCAGTGTGTATAGGCCCAGCGTGATGGAGACACTGATGTATGACATGACACACGCATGACGTTTCATTTCTGCAATTAAACTGGGCCTTGCTTTGCTCAGTTTGCTATTAAAGGTGAAGAGCAAAACCATGTGCTACCTGTCAGGAAACGGATGGCCTCCTCAAGCTGGTTTTCTGCTGAGAAAACTTGATGTGCTCTGAGAGCTGTGAAGAGGATTTCACATGAACAAAGAAGTCTTGAATCAAAAGGCTCAAACAGGGACCCTGGAAGCTGATTTCCATCTCTTCCACCAGCAGAGCAAGGGGAATGTCTGGTGCTGTGGCTGGGACAGGTGGGAATCATGGCTAACTTCTACTTCATGGCCTGAAGAAAAACCTGAGAGGTGAGAGGCTTAAAATGTTCTAAATTCTGAAGAAGAAGGGGGAGAAACAACTTTGGACTTAAAGTATAAGAAGTTTATAAGAATAAGTGTTATTCCTGCAGAGCAGGGCAGCGAAATAGGGTCTATGTGAGGGGGCAACTGCTGCTTCAGGGCTCAGAACATCAGACTGTAAGAGAGCCGGTGAACACGCAGCTGAATGACCCCAACATCCTGCTGTGTGTGGGCTGCGAGAGCTCCAGAGAGCGGCCACAGGAATCAGGGAGGGCCCTGCCATGAAGGAGACATTTCGGGTCCATGACAACCCATCACAGTCCCAGTGCTTGGACAGCCTGCGAGGGAGGGAACCTGAGTGGTTGTGAGGGTCTCTGCTCAACATCACGGGGTCCTTAGGGGAACACATGGATCTTATTTCTCTTCTGCAATTCACCTTTATGCCAGAGCCTTTCCCTACACCATCACACGTCTGAAGGGATGGAGAGACTGAGGATTGAGGCTAGTGGGAATAGTTCTGTGCCTGGCTGCCAGGATCTCTCCCGCCGCCCAGCTCTTTGACTGGAAGGAGGTCGGAAAGCTCTTGCAGGTTCCAGTTACCCTTTGGGCTCTTCATAGACTGCAGCAAATCCAGCTGCTTTAACGGGGGGAAGCCCTGCTCTTTTTCCATCAGCTCCAGCAGCTGCTTCATCCGGCTTGAAGTCTTGTCCCTGTTGATGCTGTTGTAGAGATCTGAGGGATCTTGGCTCTTTGGTGAATCCCACATGGCATTTGAAAGGGAAATATCCCTGCTGCTGGCTGTGTGCACGCTGCCCAGGGCATTGTGGAGCCACATCAGGCGCTTCAGCCCTTGAAACTCCCTCCCTTTGTCATGCATGAGCTGGTGCTCGGTCACTGCTCGTTTACTGAAACAAGAAACAGTTATTGAGGAAGCAGGCACAGTCAGATCTATGCTCCTATTTCAAACGTGGTTTGCAGCCATCAATCTTAGATGCTTTTCCAAGCTGAGGAAGGAGCACTGGTAGTGCCTGCCCATGATGTGAAGGCTTAAAATGGCCCTTAGAGATTTGGTCTTTCCTAAATTTGGGATCAGAGATTTAAATACCAGAATTAAGTTCCCTTTTCGTGACCTCAGCGTTCTAGGATGGACAGGTTTTCTTTCCTTCCAGAGCTGTAAGTCAGGAGTAATTTAACTGGAATCAGTGGGGCCCATGAAATGCTGAATCCCAGGATGGGCTGGGTTGGAAGGGACCTTAGAGATCATCTCATTCCAGCCTCTGCCACGGGCAGGGAACCTCATTATTTTCTTTGGATATACCGAAAACTTTGAGCCATATATTGACTGAGGAGGACAGGCTCATTCCAGGATGCAAATATTGCTGGATCTGGGGCTTCTTAGGTAACACCCAACTGCAGCTATAGGCTCCCACTGCAGATTCACATTGGAATGGGAACCTAAATATGGAATTTGAGCATGTGCCATTCCCATGGCTTGTGCTGAGCAGCCTTACATGGTTCGTTACACTGTGTTGAAAGGCATCAACTGAAACGTGGTGAGCGTTCCACATCTAAAATGCAGTTGGTCTAATTTTATACTGCATGGAGAGCAATGTAAAATGTTTCTGCATCGAATACATAAGCATTTTCTTCCACTCTGGACTAAATGAGAGCAGTCAGGATACAGCCCATTAAATCAAAGGCAAGCAGAGCTCTAATGGTATTAAGTAAAAGGATGATAGTGCTTACTTACTTTGCAGTGTCTTGACATGTTGCAAAACAGGTAAAAGAAAGAACTGCCAATAGTGTAACCACTTGCAGAGATCTCTGGGGCAGGAACATCTTCTCTCTTCTTCAAACCTGCTCCACGGGACAAGAAGCTGACAGTATGATCCAAATCTTTTATTCTCTAGTCTTTCTTTCACCTGACAAAATGAAGTCCAGCCTTGAAGCACTGGTAGAAGTGGAGCATTGTACTGCGGTACATCACCCCAGGAGCTCACAGAACATCAGATGTGTGGATACGTAACACAAACCAGTGAAAAATGAGCAGATTTCACAGTATAGTTCTCATTTCCTTGCTAACAGTCCTAATTCTCCTTTTCCAGTACTGCCTTTCAATTTCCCACTCATGTCCATTGGCAAGCAAAGGAGATTATTTCATTTAGAACTGGCAAGACAAAAAACTTAGCAGAAATTTAACACAAAGATCAGCATTGCTCCTCAAATGGCTTTTCTTTACACTCACTTGAATGCTGAATTCTCAATGACTGCATAGAAAGGCAAATTAAACACCTGGGTGTAAAAATTTGGCTTGTTCCTATACATTTACTCCATTAATTTCTCACTTCCTTGGACAGTATGTCCACATTAAACTAGATATAAAGTAACAAATGGATATTAGTTCTGAGTAAAGATAGCTGTATTAAATACAGACATATACACATAAATACACACATAGATGTGTGTGGATGGTATTTTAGGTTATGCTAAGGTAGAACTCCTGCTGATACACAGTAGGTAAGAGATACTTTCCTATTGTAAGCTATGAATTAAAAAGCATCTTCCAGTTCCAAAAGTAACATCAGCTACTTACTGGTGATCCTGCAGAGCCCACAGGGAGGTTCTGCCCTGCAGACTTGTCTCCTGGCCAGTCCTGTCACAACCTCCCAGTTGCAGTGACACCAAGTGCCTTTCACCTGCTTTTATAGCAGCCCAGAAACCACAGAAACAATAGACATGAGCTCCACAGCACAGTGTGACTAAGACCTTGCCTCTCATGGCAGTGAAATGAGACAGCTCCCTGACTCCAGCGAGAATAAATCCTGGATTCTGACATGTTCTGTTCAGTTGTGACTAAGGGAAAGATCACACGTTTATGGACATTTTCTTACTCCTTTGCTGTCTCTCCTGAACCCAGGATGTTGTCTTGTGAGCACTTTTTATTCTAACACAGTGTTCCTGTGCTCCAAGGTGATGGAAAAGGCATATTCAAACCTGTTGTTGCAGGGTTCATCAGGAAAAATGTCTGTGCTATGTATAAGAGATCCCCCTGCCCTGCTGTCCTCATGGACTTACTCATAGGACACTAAAGTTGCACAGGAGGAATCTAAATCAGCAATACCAATGAGCTCTGTAGTGTCAGTAGTCATACAGTCAGCAACTGCCAAACGCTCAGGCAAAAAGCCAAATGCTTTGAAACCCCAGGAGCTGATGTCGTGTGTGTGTGAGGCTTGAGGCTCACTTCACAATCTCTAACCAGGTAACTGCAATAGGATTTGGATACTCAAGATGTGGCTGGACCATTGGGCCTAAGAACTACTTAAAGAGGACTGGTTCCTGTTTCTCAAAGTAAAAGAAAGTGAATGTATTTGTCATGGCTGGGGGAAAGATTGGGAAGCTGATTTAGTGTTACCCGAAGCTACTGATTCCTTTCACATAGTCTCAGCCATACGTTCCTGTTCAGCCCAGTCCCACGTGAATGCAGGCACGTTGTCCAGACAGACAGTGCCCACACAACCTCTTCCCTTCTCACAGCTTCTGTGGACAACAAATTGCTTTGATTATATTCCTGAGGACAGGTTATTTTGAGCCCTGCTATTTCAGAGCGATCAAATAATGTTCCTGATTTCCTTACATGAGTTAAGGAGTGTCACTCATCAAAGAGAATGAAATAGATTACCAATTAAAGATGACATTTATTAAATGCTGGTAAAACAGGGGCCTGCTTCACATCTTGGTTTCCAGGGTAGCAGTTACGCTGCAGTTACACTGAATATTGGCCCATGAAAACAAGGTTTCTTAGTTACATCTGCAAGGACTAATGAGCACTGGCCAAAGTCGTGTCCAAAACATGTGGTCTAATTCATCCTTGAACTTTTTGAGTCTCCATGCAGTGGGTTTCACCATATGCAGTTATTGGCTTCTTTGCAGGAAGAACTAATCCCACGGTGATGTGAGTGCCTCCTGACAGAACAGAGACACTGACATGGGGTCTGTAAATGGGCACTTGACGCATTCTGTGCTGGCCAAACCACGTTGCCTCGTTTACACTCCTCCACCGGGTATTTCTCCCTACCCAAGGACTTGCAAGTAGTCAAAATAACCTTGGTTGTGATTTTGTAACATGTCCCTGAGAGGTGTATGTGAGGAGAGGCTGTACTGCAGCTATGATTTATCTTTGAGAAGCATCTGTGCAAAGACTAAGGGCATCAGCAGCATGGTAGGGAAGATGCTCCAGAGATTGATTTCCATAATTTGCAATATCTCATAGAATCCCAGCCTGGTTTGTGTTGAAGGGACCTTAAAGCTCCTCCAGCTCCAACCCCTGCCACGGGCAGGGACCCCTTCCATAGAGCAGCTTGCTCCAAGCCCCTGTGTCCAACCTGCCCTTGAACACTGCCAGGGATGGGGCAGCCACAGCTTCTCTGGGCACCCTGTGCCAGCGCCTCAGCACCCTCACAGGGAAGAGCTTCTGCCTAAGAGCTCATCTCAGTCTCCCCTCGGGCAGGTTAAAGCCATTCCCCTTGGCCTGTCCCTACATCCCTTGTCCCAAGCCCCTCTCCAGCTTTCCTGCAGCCCCTTCAGGCACTGGAGCTGCTCTCAGGTCTCCCCTTCAGGAGCCTTCTCTTCTCCAGGCTGCCCCAGCCCAGCTCTCTCAGCCTGGCTCCAGAGCAGAGCTGCTCCAGCCCTCGCAGCATCTCCATGGCCTCCTCTGGCCTCGCTCCAACAGCTCCACGTCCCTCTTGTGGTGCTGCCCCAGAGCTGGATCAGGGCTGCAGAGGGATCTCCCCAGAGCACAGCAGAGGGGCAGGATCCCCTCCTGAGCTGCCACTCATGCTCTGGGGGTGCAGCCCAGCACAAAGGGGGGGGGTGTGGGGTGTGTCTGGTCTCAAGCGCACACTGAAGCTGGGCCCTGCGGAGCTTCTCATTGACCAACACCCCAAGTCCTTCTCCTCAGGGCTGCTCCATCCAGTCTGTGCCTGGGATTGCCCTGACCCAGGGGCAGGACCTTGCACTTGGCCTTGAACTCCATGAAGTTCTCATGGTCCCATCTCTCTGTCAAAGTCCCTCTGGATCCCATTCCTTCCCTCCAGCATGTCAACTACACCACACAGCCTGGAGTCAGCAGCAAGAACGTTTTCTAAAGACAGTATAAACCGTGTTGATTGCTCAGCTTATCCCACAGCCACACACGCAGCAGATAACGTTTCCAACTCTATGGGAACGTTGCTAATGTCACAGCAAGAAACTGTACAAACAGCAGCTCCAGGTGGTATTTTTAGCTGGTACAGATGAATCTCTGCGAGAGCCTGAGCAGCGTGGAGCAGACTGAGAGCCCATTGTGCCAGGGATGTCGGGACTGTGTTACCTTGGGGCTTTCCTCAAAGCACATTTGGAGCCTCCAATGGTTTCAGCCTTGCTCCAAAGCCTTCGCTCCCACCCTGTGGCTTTTCCCGGTCTTCAGGCCTCACTTCGCATCAGAGGGTGGCTTTGCTGTGCAGTCCCCTGTAGGCAGGAGTGTTTGAGCAAGGCAGGGCTGTGCCAGTCACCGCTTCCCAGTGAGTGATTCTTTTGTTTTGCTGTTTCCAGGCCTCTTCCCCTGGGAGCCAGGTGGGGGAGGAAGGGAATGGGGCTTGCTGCAGACCATGAAAAGGGAAGAGAAAGCCCGGAGGCCCCGTTGAGGGGGAAGAAGGAATAGGGGGAGGGCGCAGAAAGCAAAGCCAATGTGCACAAAGCCAGAGTGCAAACAGCCTCGTTGGGGCCAGGGGATCCTTTTCCCTCGGGTTTGAAAACTTCATTAACCAGACTGTGCCGCATCAGCGGGCTCCTGCCTGCGGGGGCACGGACCCCCGGATCGGATGCTTGTTTTCCACGTGCTCTTCTCCGTTCCTCACCAGTAACGGGCGCGGGGGCTGCAGAAGGCTCCGCGCTTCCCTCGTGTACAAATGGGCTTTGTTGTTGTCGGGTTCCTTTTCTCTCAGCCCAAACCCTCCCGCCCTGCGCGGAGGAAGCGGTTTGACCGCACCGGGACGGCAAACGGAGCTCCCCCGGGCAGCTCAGCGGGTGCTCCCGTCCTGGCCTCCCTGATGCGGGGAGGGGAAGCGGCCCCTCGCAGCACACCCGGAGCCCAGCAGGGCTTTTTGCATCGCTGCCCCCGTGTCAATGCGGGGTCTCACCGGCCCCGCCCCGGGAGGAAGGAGCAGCACAAGCGCCTCGGTAACCATTGAGAGAGCTGAAATTCAGCTCCTAAAGAGCGGGCTGCCGGTCTCCGCTCGGTCTGGGTGCCCTTGTAGCAGCACCTTAATGCTGGGGGGGCAGTCGCACGCAGTGCAGAGATATAAGAAACCACTGTTGTGTGATGCTGTGCAGGGCTGCATGGGCAGCTTTAAATCCTGCCCTAATCCACTCCATACTGCATCATCCCAGAGAGAACTCCCGTCTGCCTGGGGATTAGAATCAGCTGCACAGCAGTGAGTCAGGCTCGGTGGTAATTTTCCATTTTCTTATTCCAAGGCAGATTTGCCTGAGCTCTACCTGAACACAGCAGTGAGGGGAAGGGGCTCTGTCCTGCAGAGCCAGCCCTGGAGCTAAGCCTGGTGCTGACCCTTCCCTTCCCAAAATAGCGTCCCGAATATTTTCTGCATGCAAAACAAATTCGGGTGAAGCTGAGACAAATCCTCAAGTCCCTTTGTGCTGCTGCTGTAACCCCCACAGGGCTCTCTGAGCTTACCCCTGGGTCCACGGTGTTGCAGCATGGCTGGAGCACCATGCTGAGAACCTCAACTGAGCAGAACCAGAATGGGTTTAAGGTCCTTTCCAACACTAACCGTTCTGTGATTCTAAAAGCAAACCGAAGTACAAGGAGAGGCATCTTCCAGGGTCCTGGGGCTGCCCCTCACAAAGGAGCTCTCTGGGGAGAATGAGAGGGGAATGCTGCCATCCAGCACCCAAACCTGGGTTTGCTGGCCAGGGGCCAAGTGAGCAGGTAGGTGCTAATGCCAGGTGAGTTGGGGCAGCCCTGAATCCTGCCTGAGCAGCCAGGGAGCCCTGAGGTTACCTGTGGATCAGCTCTCTTGTCCCCAGGCTGTATTAGAGGGGATGCCCACTTGCTAATGTCTGTAGGACTAAGAAGGTGTTTCCTAAGGGACCAAACTCACCAATGTCTGGTTTGGATTTCTTATGTCTCTGTAGTGCCAGCAAGTGGTGTACTGGTCCTGAGGAGAGCCTGCTCAGTCTGCCACCGTGCAAAGGTGGTGATCGACACCCAGCCCGTAGATGTGGCAGAGGTGGGACCCCAACAACAGCGGAAGGCTCACACATGGAAAGGTGGGGATGACTGCTGAGGAACTAAGAGTCACCAAATGACGTGTCTGTCCTTGAAGCAAATGGACTTTGTGCTAGCTAATCCCCAGTGCTGAGTCTCAGAGACATGCTGTGCCCCTGTGCTGGATGCAGACCGTGTCTCAGTTTAGGTCTATCATATATAAGCTACACTCTGCTGTTTCCCTTTATTTAAGGTTTGAGGCTGAGCTGAAGGCTGTCACAGTGCAAAAATGTATGTATTTTAATAGTGAGGGAATAAGGAACAGGACTTGTACCCTGTAAACAGAAGAGTACTCATGGTGAGAACAAGCTTACACAAACTGGTGGTGATATATTGTAAGATTAAGTCACTGTTTCTTCAGAAAATAGCCTTCATCAAGATTCGCCTGTTGGCAGGATGTGAAAATGGGCTGAATCCACACGAACGTCCCAAGCAGCCAGCTGAGGTACGACTGCGTGCAGGCACTTGTCTGAGTGAAGAAAATGCCTGTCCCTTCAGACCAGTCCTGTTGTGCTCCTGTAATGACACTTCCAAGCAAAAGCCCTTTCTGTAGATAGAGTCCTGTCGGTAAATAAGTATTTTTGCTAATGTCTTGTTTTGCTTGAGAGCAACTTCTTTGCTGACAGAAGTGTTCTTTAGTAAACACTGGCTGTCTCCTGAAGCATCCCTTAAATTTGGCTCACACAGCTGAGGTTTCTTCCAGATCATAATGGCTGGAGTATGTTCATTTTGTTATGTGAGATTTAAATCTCTGGATCAGTGATAGCAGCTTGACTGTAACACTGTATTTCTTGTCAGTCTGGTCATGGATTCAGGTCTGGCTGTGTTATAGTGACTGTGCTTCTCTGTAACTGTGAGGCATCAGGTGCCTCTTCAGCCTAGGCTTGGCTTACCCGTTTGGAGTAGGTCTGGTTGTGGTTTTAAGGTCAGTGATCTCTCCTTCCTTTGATGGAGGGATAAATGTAAAAGCTCTGTACATCTTATAGATGTTGGACATGAATGGCATTTTCTTCTGCAAAAGGAAGAGATATACACCATAAATTTGGAATGAGGAAGAAAGTGATGTAACTGAATGGAGCTTTGACGTGTGTATGTGTACATGTATAGAATGCTGCTCAGGGCTGTTTCAGGGTATCATCTTTGGGAGCACAATCCAAATGCTGAGTTCTGAATTACT